AAAAAAAAAAAAAAAAAGAAGTACCCAACCCATGCCAAAGTCATCATGAAGCATGGAGTGGAGGAGGGGCTGCTATCTGAGCAGAGTTTATCTGTACCACTGGGGTCACAGGCTAGGACCACCAGGCAGCCCTGAAAACTGGAAAGCCTACCTCAGTGACACGCGTGCACACGTCTTCAAAGACACCTGGCTACACACCAAGGAAGCACCTTGGATGAAAGCCGTGACATGGGTGACATGGGGAGAGGCTCCTAGTTCAGCTTGAGCCTCCACCAGTACTGGAAGCATCACGGTGGAAAGAAATGCTGCAGAAGGGGCGTGGGTGGGCCTCTTCTGATCCCAGCCTGCAGTGCCCACTCATGGAGATGCCCTTTCCCTGCAGACCATGGAGGTAAGTCCTCCTGACAGATATGACCTTTCAGCAGGACCCCTCCTCTGACAGGGAGAAGCCATGGGGCCCTAAGTGTATAGTGACCAGGAACTGACCTGCTATGGCCAAGGAGACCTGCAGTGTGTCTACTGGCAGCTCAGGGAAAGCTGCCCAGCTTCATGGATGTGGTTAGGTCTGCACATGGCACCTGTAATGTTCTAAGGACCACTCCCTTTCTTACCTCAGACTGCTCTGGACTGTGTGACAATAAAGACCAGGTTAATTACATCACCTTAAAGCTAGGGGTATGGCTGGGAGGCAGGGAATAGAAGAGTCACTGCCAGCATGCAGTGGTTCTCAGTGATGATAGCAACATCTGCTTCTGAGAACACAGTGGGAGGGCAAGGGGTGACACTCTGTGGCAGTGACCTTGCCTGCTGGGTTCCGGTCTCTCTGTCTCTTCCCTATGATCTACACCCTGTCATTCTCACTGTAGGTCTTATGGTGGTGAGCCTGCCTACAGGGAGCTGTTTTTTTCTGGACAGGCATAGAAAGATGGCTTCATCTTAATTCTCTCAATCTGTACTGCCTCCCTGCACCACCGTTTATAAAATATTTTATTTAGTTATGAGAGAGAGTGTGCTTGTGCAAGCAGGGAGGAGGGTAGAAGGACACGGGGAGCGAGTGGGACAGGGAGAGAGAATCTTGAGCAGACTCCACGTGGAGCACGGAGCTTGATGCGGGGCTTGATCGCATGACCCCAAGATCATGACCCGAGCTGAAACCAAGAGGCAGATGCTTAACTGGCTGAATCACCCAGGTGCCCCCTCCCTGTTCCACTTTTTTTTTTTTTTAAAGATTTTGTTTATTTATTTGAGAGAGAGAATGAGAGAGAGAGAGCATGAGAAGGGGGAGGGTCAGAGGGAGAAGCAGACTCCCCGCTGAGCAGGGAGCCCGATGTGGGACTCGATCCCGGGACTCCAGGATCATGCATGACCTGAGCCGAAGGCAGTCGCTTAACCAACTGAGCCACCCAGGCGCCCTCCCTGTTCCACTTTTAAGGACCTTTGCTATTACATTGCCCACCCACCCGTCACCTCAAATAATCCGGAATAATCTCCACATCTCAAGGTCAGCTGATTATCAACTTAATTCCATTTACCATTTAAGTTTCACCTTGCCATGTAATATAACTTATTTACATGTTCTGGAGATTAAGACCTGGACATCTTTGGGGTCATCATATTCTGCCTACCACAGTACAAGAATATACTTTTTAAAAAATTTGAACATTGCCTACATGGCTACTTGCTAGGTCAAGGATAAGTGCATTTTATATTTTGATAGATGTCAACAATGATTCTCTAGAGAGGTGTTTCCAATTTACCCTTCCCTGGCAGTGCTGTGAGAGCCTTGGCATGATGATGATGACAACAATAGCTCTCTTATTTATTTAGTAGTGTTAACCTTAAAAATAAAACAGTTACTTTACCAGCAAAAATGGGTTTATTTGGGAATAGGAGAGAATGACAATTCTGGACATGCAAGCTAGAGCAAAACTGTAGGCAAGTCTAACAAAGGAGAAGAATGTTATTTTATGCAGAGGAAGGAGGAAGTCAGGAGGGGCTGTTCTGAAGGAAGGTCCGTTGCAGAAGAGTTCAGGGTGATTAGTTTCTCACTGGCTGAATTGCAGGGCCCATTCATTTCCTGTAGGAGACGCAATGTACAGCTTTTCCTGCTGGGGCCTGTAATTGGGGACTTCTTTCCTGTTGAAGATTCTTCTGTTGGTAATTCTTGACTTCCAGTCGTACCAAGTGAGAGCTCCCCCTTTCACTCCATTCTAGTGAGGTTCCCCTTTACTAAGTTTCACAGCACTGCGTGCCTGGCCCTGTGCTGAACACTTTTCACGTCACTTCTCATGAGTAAAGTTGTAGTATTTATCAAATTTCATTACTGGATTTTGAGTCAGAGCTATTCTGGGAGCGCATCAGAACCCCCAAGAGCGACAAGGCACAGAACGTCTAGGCTCATCCCAGTTTCTGAGGGGGGACGATGCACAAGTGAGGCTGTTCCCCAGGGCCCCCTCAGAGCGGGTCCGTCCACTCCAGAATGCGGCTCGCCCGCATCTCTGAGGGAGGAAGTCTGGAGTAGCCCCTGAGAGGAAGCTAAAGCACGCCGCCGCCATTCCGAACCTCGGGCTCCACTTCCCAGTACCCCTTGCGCGGCCGCTTGGGCGTTGCCAGGGGCAACTTGCGGGCGCCCCAGGCCCGGCCTATGCGGGGCAGAAACTACGGCGACCAGAAGGCTACGGGGAAGGCGGCGACCGACGAGCCAATCACAGCACAGAAGAGCCATTTCCTGCGGCTCCCCGCACTTCCGGCGTCTCCCTTGTGGACGTTCATTTTGCTCTTGACAGGTCTTTAAACAGCGCCCTTGGGGACCGGAGCTCCGGGTCGGGGCCGCTTTCCAGGCGCCTCCCTGGGACCCAGCCGGAATGGGACCAACTGCCGCGCTTCGTACCAGCCGACCTCCTGTAAGGGGGCTGTCTCCCTCCGCACTCGCCCTCCGTCCCCTCTGACTGACGCCCCCATTGCGACGGGCGGCGGGCGGGCACCTGGCCCAGTGGAGGTGTGCGGATCGGCTGAGCACTCAGGGCCTGCCCGGGTCCGATGGCGGCGGCGGCGGCGGGGCTGGCGGACCCGGCGCGGGTGAGTGGAGGGCGCCCGCCGCCCTCGCTCACCGCATCCCCATGCACACGGTCCGGGGTCCACGACAGAGGGCAGTGGGGAGTCCCGGGACTCTTTTCCTCCACCTTCACTTCTCTTCCTTTCCTGCTGGGACCCTGGGATCACCCCAAGCCCGAGGTCCTGAGTCCTAGCCAGAAGTTATGTGGGAAGTTTCACAATTCTGGAATCCAGCGGGACAAGACCTGGAAAGCGGTTTCAGGCAGTTTCAGGCATAGGGACCGGGATGTGCAAATGCTTAGAGAGGAGGCTGAGCTGGGGGTGTTCGGGGAACTACAGGTCTCCGTTACGTCTGGTGGGCAGGAATCAGGCCTGGAGCGGCATCCTGGGGAGCTTGGCCTGAGGGTGGCGGGAGCCATGGAGGGTTTGGAGTAGAGGAGAACGGTGATCTGACTCAGGTGTTCACAGGCTCCCTTTGGCTGCAGAGTGGAAAAGAGAGGTAGGGTGGGGTAGGGGTGAGGTTGAGGGGGCAGAAAGAGAGGCCCGTAAGGACGCTCTTTTACTAGATCAGGTGGGTGATGGTGTCTTGGCCTGAGTGGTGACTGGAGTTGGGAGAAGTGGTTGGATTCTGGATGTCTTTTAAGCCAGCCAGATTTTATGGTGTGCAGCGAAGGGGAAGAGGCTGGGATATCTCCATGGATTTTGGCCTCAGTTACTAGAAGGTGGAATTGAAGTGCATCGACTGAGATGGGGAGGTTGCTGGGTCGAACAGGTTTCAGGGAAGATCAGGAGGCAGATTTTGACCCTGTCGAGGCTGAGAAGTCCTAGAGACTTAGAGTTGGAGGTACTGAATGGGCAGCAGGTCTAAGTTCTGCCGAGGAATTCCGCTTGGAGACATCCAGCCAGCAGTAGTCAGCATGTGAGCTGAGGTGGAGCTCTGGCTCGGACTGGAGAGGGGACATCTTCAGCTTATGGTGAAGGATGCCCTACAGGGGCAGCTGAGGACTGGGTGGCTGGCCCAGGTCCTGGGCAGGGTTGGTGGGTGTCACAAGGTCAGCTGAAGGGAGGAGGAGCCGAGAGAGGAGGGTCCAGGGAGTGACCAAGATCCCTGGGACAGAGGCTGAGGCATACTGGAGATGCAAGCAGCATGACAGTGGAATTGAGGCTCATGTTTAGTCACCTCTCTATGGGCTCACCAGCATTTCTTGGCCACCCTCTGTGGGGCCTGAGGGTTTCAGTCAGGATGGCAGATTGGCTCCGTGGCAGTCAGCTGCGAGTGTCCCAGGCCTGGGGTGGGAGGTGGTGGGGCTGGGCTTCGTGCATCAGGAGGAAAGAGGAATCCTGAGGCTGGTGAGGGGACAGCATGAATAAAGGCAGAGAGACTTGGAGGTCCCAGAAGTCTTCGTGGCCCAGCCTGGATGGTTACGGGTTAAAGGCAGGACTAGGGTCAGTTAGAGAAACTGAAGGAAGGCTGGGTGCCACCTCTGGAAGTTGGGACTTTTGGAAGTCTGGGTCAGGATGGGTTCCTGGTTGACCTCACCAAGTTAGCCACGTTTTGGACACCCATTTGCAGAGTGATATGTAGGGTTGCTGGGAGAAAGAATGGGCCATGGGATGGTGGTGGGGTCTGGAGATGTGTGGTACAAAGATGGACGTGCACGTGCAGAAGGAGTATGAACTGATGGACTAGAGTCCTGGTCCTGGGAGCCTACGCAAGATGAGCCCCCATTTGGTTGTTCTGGGAGGCAGGATCTGGGCAGCCAAGGGAATTGCCTGGTAGGAGGCAGTGAGACCCCACAACCAGGCCCAGAGCCGTGGCAACTATCTGCCCACCTCCCTGCTGTGAAGGAGGCCACAGTGATCAGTGGGACACAAGGAGACAATGGCACCCATGGCGTGGGAGCTTAGGGAGAAGGGTGACCTAGGAGTGTTGGCAGGGGTGATTTGGGGGTTAGAGACTACCCACCAGAAAGGTGGCAGCATGTAGGTCACAGGCCTAGGTCTGGATGGGTTCATCTTTGTATTTTTTTGTTAGGTTTTTTTTGCTGCCCTGTGGTCTGATTTAGCTGTCCTCATCATGACAGGACTGCGGGACCTTTGAGGACGTGGCCGTATACTTCTCCCGTGAGGAGTGGGAGCTCCTTGATGAGACTCAGAGGCACCTGTACCACAATGTGATGCTTGAGAACTTGGCGCTTGTGGCCTCACTGGGTAAGGCCCTCCCACCCCCCAGCTTCCTGTTCTAGTCTCTGTCCTTCCTTTTCTCCCAGGAACAGCTCTTTCTTCCTACAGCTGAGCATGGTGTTGCTTCCTCCTCTGGGCTATGTGCTGTGTGCAGAGCTGGGGTACAGGCACAGCCTGCTCCTTTCCCTGAGGAGCCCCAATATCTGCTTCCCTTTCTGGGGAAGGGCTCAGGACTGAGGGTCTCAGTCTGGCTGCCTGAGTTTGTCTAGATCAGTGGCACCTCTGTGCCCAGGTTCTTCTCCCCTTTTTATATCAGACATTTCCGGGAGCCTGGCTATGTCATGGACTATAGACACTGATGTGGTTATTACTCGTGATGACCACTGGGCTCGTCCTGTGAGATGCTCCTCGGAGGCTTATTTTGTAACATTGAGTTTTCTTCCCAGTTGCAAAGATGACGTGAGCTCCCTCTGGTCTGCCACAGGGTAGGTTGCCCTTGGCTGGCCCAGCCACTCACCCACCCTGTCTTTTTCCCAGGACTTGAAACTTTCAGGTCCTGTGTGGTTGCTCACCCAGAAAAGGACAAAGAAGCCTAACAGGGTGGACATAACTCCATATACTGCAAGAGAGGCTGGGAGGGGGTCTGGCTCTAATAAGTTGGAGCTGGAGCAGAGGTGACATGGGGGCTGGGTTCACACTGTCCTGGGCACCTGCCCTATATCCACTAGTGTTTGTTGCTGGGGCCAGTAGCCGGACCTTACTCCATTTTCCTTCCTCATTCTAGACACCACATTCTTGCCATTTCTACTTTGTCCCTGGACACTGCTCTGATCTCTGTGTCTTCCTCAGTCCCCTCCACTCCTCCCTTTACAGGGATGTCCCATATTAGCCCACAGTCAATGTATTATAAGATGTGCACATATCCTCATATAGGCTTTAAGCACCAGATGCCTGGTTGCAGCTGCATTTTCCTGGGCTCATGCACACCACTCTGTGTCCCCTGTTCCTATCAGAGATCTGAGGCCTGCCTGTACTGGGTCCTGCTGAAAGCTGAGGAATTGCAGTTCCTGCCTCTCCTCCCAGCCGGAACCCTACCCCTGTGTTCTCACGTGCTGAATCTTCATTTTCGGTGGTTTTCCTGGGCCCAGTACTGCACCACAAGCTCTACCTCACCCTGACTTGATCCTACAGACTCATTGCTAAATTTGTCAAATCCACATCTGTGAAGGGGCTGCCCCCTCCCAACAAAGCCTATATACACTTCACCAGTATTTCTCTTTCAGGTTGTTGGTGTGGAGTAGAGGAAGCCCCTCTTGAACAGAGTGTTTCTGTAGAAAGAGCGCTCCATTTCAGGACCCCTAAAGCATGTCCTTCCACCCAGAAGGCTAACACCTGTGACATGTGTGGCCTGGTCTTGAAAGACATATTACACCTGGCTATGCATCAGGGAATATACCCTAGGCAGAAACCGTACAAGTGTGCGACATGTGGGAGAGGCTTCTGGCTCAGTACAAACTCTCACCAGCGCCAGAAGGAGCACAGTGGAGAAAAATGCTTCACAAGTAGCAAACGTGCTAAGGATGTCCTGGACAGCCACGACCTCCTGCAGCATCCAGCCACCCATAGCATGCGGAAGCCACACAGGAGCACCACGCACAAGGAGGCCTTCCAACCCAACTCTAGCTTCCAGCAGCAGCGGAGAGTCCACGCCACGCAGAACCCCTTCAAGTGCAGCAACTGTGGGAAAGGCTTTCTAAAGGCCTTCATGCTCCTAGACCACCTGCTCACTCACTCCAAAGAGAGACCCTGCAGATGCCCAACAGGGGGAAATGCCCCTAAAGAGAACTCCACCGTTGTTCATCCCCCAAAAAATCACACTGGAGAAACATCCCATGTGTGTATGGAATGTGGGAAGGCCTTCAGCCACCCTTTTAAACTGAGGACACATCAGAAAGTTCATACTGGAAAACTGCATCACAGTTGCAGTGAATGCGGGAAAGCCTTCACCCGAAAACACTCCCTTGTTCAGCACCAGCGAGTTCACACTGGAGAACGGCCTTATGAGTGTGGCCAGTGTGGGAAGGCCTTCACTCGCAGCTTCCATGTTGTTCGGCATCAGAAAGTTCACAACACAGAAAGGCCTTATGAGTGCAGACAGTGCCGGAGAGTCTTTAGCTGTATCGCCAGTTTTGTTGAGCACCAGAAAATACACACTGGGGAAAGGCCTTATGCGTGCAATGAATGTGGGAAAGCCTTCATTAACAGCTCTCATCTTGTTCGGCATCAGAAAGTTCACAACACAGAGAGGCCTTTTGAGTGCAGTGAATGTGGAAAAGGCTTCCGGCAAACCTCCAAACTTATTCTGCATCAAAGGAGTCATACAGGAGAAAGACCTTATAAATGCAACCAGTGTGGGAAAGCCTTCAGTTGCCCTTCCAACCTTGTTCCACACCAGCGAATTCATACTGGAGAAAAGCCTTATGAGTGCTCGGAATGTGGAAAAGCCTTTAGTCAAAGCTCTGCCCTCATTCAGCACCAGAAGGTTCACACCAGAGAAAGGCCTTATGAGTGCAGTGAATGTGGAAAAGCCTTCAGCTATAGCTCGAACCTTGTTAAACACCAGAAAGTTCACACTGGAGAAAGGCCTTATGGGTGCAGCCAGTGTGGGAAAGCTTTCAGTGAGAGCTCCATCCTCAGTCAGCACCAGAGAGTTCACACTGGAGAAAAGCCTTATGAGTGTAACAAGTGTGGGAAAACTTTCCGCTACAGCTCAAACCTCTCTAAGCACCAGAAAGTTCATATTGGAGAAGAGCCACCGGAGT